CTGATTTCTTTTTGAAAAATGCGTTTCTAAAGTGCATAAACTTTTGGGATTGACTATATAGCCAATACATCCTTAAATCGTACTGTATCGCGTCCAAGTGTCCAGTACATGTTTCATTTGTTAATATCAGTTACGATTCGACATTTACAAATAATATTGTCAAAATGAACAGCAAAAGTTATACGAATACGACGAACAGCGATAAAATCGAATGCACTCAAATCGTGCAGAAGAGAGTTAGAAGCATGATGCAGTTCAAAAATTACGATTGGAAGATGTCCTACAATCTTATTAATACTGACCAGGACAATATTATCCTGCGACGTAAAGCGACTCACATACTTTTCGTTAGTATCTTTCACCAGAAGTGAAGAGATTAAACAGTAACTCTATTAATTCTTACAGTCTTATAAAGAACAATTGCCAAATATTTGTCCGGCTAACTTGAAAATATTGAAAGACACCATTCCGCAAGACAAGAGACCAGATGACGATTTGCAATCCAAAGATGTAGACTTTGAGGAACATGAAGCTCATCTAGGTGCAATACTTCGAAACTTTTTTGGTGAATGATAAATGAGTGAAAAAAATTACAGATGAACGCGCCAGCGATTTAAGCACGATGCCGAAAATTAGTACCTGGAACGAGTATAAAAAATTGCTAGAATTATCAAAGTCACGGCCGGATAAACCTTGTACGAAACCGTATATAACGGATGCTACATTCTTGCCAAAGATTCGCATTGACCAACACGTGTATTTATAAAAGAATTAAAGATTGCTACGATATAAGAACTGAATATAAAGATTAGAATATTAATAGGGGACACTTGAGATTGAGACGACGTATAAATGCTCGAGCGAAAAGAACTATAATAAAAACAGATGTCATGAAGAGAATCCTAATTGTAGACTCGAACTATGTACAATTCCGTAATTTCAAATTGAAGAAATCTTACAAGGTGCGTCTACTAAGTTAGGATTAACTCCATCGAATGGTGCGATGCATAAAACTCTGCATTCTATTAATGCACATCGTTGTCATACAGAAAACAATCACGTTACAAAATGTTAGCACCATACCAGCGAGGTTTCAGATAGAGAGCAGACCGTATCGGTCTAAATTTCAAGTGACGATGAAACCTGTTATAGAGAACAGGAGCGTCATCGCTCCAGGATTGCAAATGAAATTAAACATCACGTTCCGTTGCGACCATATTGATTCACCTGAAGAGTTATTGCTAATAAACGTGGAACACGGAAGCCCTTTGGCAATCCGCATGCACGGATACAAAGAACCGCCTCTTTTATTAGGTAAAAATTCAAAATCAAAGTGCTTATAGCGAGTTAAGGAATGCATTCGTACAGGATACTGCCTAGCTGAAGAGATACAGTATTATTCGGATACGAGATTGCATCGTAGCTGGTACTCGGTGATGGTGGAATCGTTTAGCTCGAAAGTACGCAACAATGATTATTTTACTTGTAAAATGTTAATAAACAACCATTTGATATTTCGTATTAAAATATTTTCAACAGTCTACGAACTCTACTACGAGCAGCGACAAGACCGAGTTCTCTTGTGAAACCGAAGATAATACCTTCGTAAGCATGACTTTTGACTGCAAAAAAGGATTTGTAGGCGAACAAGTTTCTATACCGATGAGATTTAAGAACATCGGAGGAACTGGAAGATTTTTCATAATGAGCGAAACCGATTGGTTCGCAATGGATATTGTGGTAAGATCTATTGAAAGGCAGTTTTATATTCAAGCTATATTGAAAGATTGCTACCCGTAGGACATTACGGAATCGAATGCCTTGAGATTATCCTGCTTCATAGTACAACCAGCATATTTTTCTTTGAGAACGAATCAAGAGATGACTTTTCATATGTACTTTACGCCCGAGTGTTATGGCATTCATGTAAATGATAGATAATTAAATTGTGGATATATGTGTGGACTGTGGATTTGTACAAATTAAAATGCACATTATTATTTTTTAACTCAATTTTCTAAATCGATATTAGAAATATTTTAAACAATCCCAGCCTAAAAATGATGTTTCAATCGAGTTTAACTTATTATACTTATATTTAACTGCTTATTCATCGCTGATTTCGCCAGGTGGAAAAATTGTACATATTGTGCGATAACTGCAGCCTATTGGCTACGGAGATAATCGGGGATGGATTAATGTATGAGCCAGATTTTATCCAGTTTAGTAAAGTATCTATACTATTAATCCAGTACAGTACATTATATAAATTATTGTGATAAAGAACGATAAGAAAGCAAATAAAATTGTAGCACATTGAAAAAGCGTGGCCCTACAGAGGGAACATCGATAAGCATGCCAGATATTATATAAATTTGAGCACCGACACTCCCGATGGAATCGGGCAATGCGTCATTTGTATAAATAATACCAGGTGTATTTCTGATTTTATCAAAACGAATATACGAATTTCATGTGATAAGAGAACTAATTGATTTTTACACAGTGAAATATGCATGCAATTTCACTGGAAAAAACGAAACGTGGAGACGGAGAATACAAAGCTGAGTGAAGAGAATGATTACCCTTTGGAGTTTCTTCATATTAAACCAGAAAAAGGAATATTCGTTCCAACTTCTGCACACTACTTTACTTTGACTGCTGAATACAGAGATTTAGACCCCAATTACTATTTCGCTGTTCTACAGTGAGATTAATAAATTTCATATATTACATGTGTTACATAAAAAAAATTAAAGTACTTCGATGAAATTAGATTGTTTGTGGAGGATATACCAGTCGAGGCTATAGCCGACGAAACAAAATTGCGAACTCACGAATGCAGAACGAGACGGCGAAAATGTTCCGAAGTAAATCATTTATTTCTATTCATTTTACTAGCTACATATTGATGAAAAATGAGTATTGACAGTCTGTAGATATATGGGTAGCGGATATAGAAATCTGGTTGGAATACATGATAGACGATAAGGATGAGAGGTGCGTGATTTTTATCGAATCAACTTATTTGTATATGATTTGTATGATTTGTTGATGAATTTATATGAAATTTATTATTAATCGTAGGACTGAAGATATAATGAAACGCGTCACTGAATCGCCACGAGATTTCCGACCTATTGATCGAGGATATTTTGAAACAATAGAGGAAGAAGAATGGGAACAAGTAGAAGAAGAGGGAGAAGAGTTTAGATATTGTACCTCTTATCAATTAGTAAGTATTTTATCAACTCTTTTTTACTTCTTAGAATTGTTATAAAAATCTGTAGGACCGTTTAGATCCCAGAAGAATTGTTTTCTCATCACGATCTCGTGAACCTGCGGCAGTTCGAGCCACTGTGGCAGGAAAAGGTGATAACCGTGGGCATCATTAGACCCTCGAGGCTCGTAATTCACTAACAATTAATGTAAATAATTCAACAATAGCAAGCATTAACATTAACTACTACGTAATAGGACTTTGTTTATTGGTATCGAAGAAACTCATGTTTTAACGTTGAAGAATCTCACTGACGTTTCTATGCATTTCTCTTGGGGCAACATTGACGGTTTAGATACATCGAAAATTAAATGTTGCGTGTGTCCAGAACACGGAGAAGTGCCGGCGAATAACGTCAAAGAAGTGGAAATAACTTTCACACCATTAAAAGAGGTTCAACAATATTTTCATTCTTCGAGAGGCATTAAGGGGAAAAACTGATTTGCATAAAAACTCTTTAGGGGATCGTACAATCGTTCTTCGTACCATGTTTCGTCGATGGTACGCGAAAAATGATAATGCTAGGAATTGAATGCTCTATTGAACCTCTTTATGTTACTTTCTATTTCCCAACAACGGACGACGATTTTCAACTAAGAAACAATTTCGTTCGCGTCGAGTGGCGAGTAGACAGCATCAAACTTGCTCTAAATATGGCAGGAAAGTCAAGAAAATATATGGTGCGTTTGCTTTGAATAAAAATCATATTAAATTCATTTCATCACATTCAATGCAACTTTGCAGAAAATATTGGACAAGTATAAAAGTCAAGAGGAACGAGAATTAATGACCACGAATTTAGATGAAGGAGCAGTTCTTAGAGATGCTTCAGCCGGTCCTTCGATGCAAGGAGTGGACGAAGCAGAATTGGCTGAGCATTCTTCGGCGAGCATTCGTACTTCAGAAGTCATACAAGTAATCGAAAGCTCTTGAGAAGTATTAGATCAGCGAATTATAATCCTAAATGATTATAGATGAGTAATTTGACGGGAAACGACAACTATTCGCTTTCTCCGTTCTACGACACATTTTTACCCGCACCAACGCAACCTGTCGTGATAGAGTTTCTAAATTTGCCATTGAATACAGGTATTTCTATAAGTAAACTGCGAATTATATTGTTTAAATTGCATAACAATTTGGAACACTCGAATTGAAAATGAAGAAAGCAATTATTATAATGTTTAGTAAAGAAGAAAACTTTCATAATAAAAAACGAGACTTCAATTCCAAGCGAGTACTTGCTACATATAAAAAATAATTATCCCATCAAATGCACGTGCGAATGGAAGAATCAGAAAGATCGGATCAGGAGTATTTACAAACGAACCTTTGGTCGAGACAAGAAACTAATTGGTAAGCAAGATCCAAATGGGTTTAGTGAAAGGCTATCATCCTCAACTTGCAGAAGAGGCATTGTTCAAAATGAAGCAACATGGCTCGGGTATTGTAATTTACGTGGACCCGTTGCACTCTGATCTGGAGCAATTTAAAGCTATCCCGATCGACATTTACGTGTTTGCCGATACCTGGGGTATTTACGTGGACGAAATAGAGATAAATATTACTGGTTTGCCTCAATATACTATAGGGATATGCGTGCAAGTCGTTGGATCGCCGATTTCGTTATCGATTTCTGATAGGAACGAATTGAATATACCTGTTGTCAAGTAGTTATCGTTTACAATAACTCGAGATTCGATATGTTCAAATACGAAAAGAAATTACTTGCAGGTATGGAACTGAATCTGTGGGTATTCGGTTGCCCGATAGACAAATTCAAATTAAGAACACAAGCGTGATTCCTATAGTCATCGACTGGCATACATTTATAGTAAAACCAGTAATACAGGAAATGCCTTTTAACATCGCGTTTAATGTCCTTACCCCATTTACCGACAAATTATCAATGAAATTGAGGACCCAATCGAAGACAGATAGCGAAGTACATATGGAGAAACACAAGTATTCTCCGTTAAAGAAAAACCTGCACGCGTGCAATTCTACATTCAGAAGCGACACGGATTTTGTAACAACTACCCAAGTGTAAATTAGCAATTCATAGAATACTAAAAGTTTAGGATTATGTTTAATGAATCGTTTTAGAGACTCTTCTCTTATGGCTTTGTCCACGTGGTCATTTACCGATAATACAAGTGATAGTTGTGTAGAACATCTTGAGAGCACTCTCAGTTGTACAGAAGAAGAAACGTTTGCAATCTCAGATGCGACTGCTATGGATCAGACGAAGCAAATGGAATTAAGAATCTCTTTACTACCTTTTTACGGTTCGATCGATACGAAAATCTGTAAAGTAAGACAAGTAAACTACAATAAGACAAAAGAAATTACCAAGCGATGCCAGCAGGAATCATAAAGAAAACGTATCTCCCAAGGTTACTCCCAGAGAAATGTTCATCCTACCTAAAGCAAGTGCTTCTTTAGAAATTAGAGTACGACTCGATAAATATAGGATCATGCACGATATAAAAGAGCCTATCGAAGGAGAGTTTCTTTGCAAGCTACTTGGATTCGTACGAATCGCACCGAGCGATATGTTCGTATATCTAATAAAATATACTTAGATCTTCCACAATTACAGAAATAATTTTTTATAGGTACAAAGATAATAATTACGCCAGGCAGGCTGGTGACTATTTACCACCCATAGAAATTGACGTTACAGCCAATATCGTTGCACCCAAATTAGATTTTTATCTGTCTAGAGAAGACAGAACGTTTACATGCTGTGCCTCAGATGTGATGCAAAGTAGAAAGAAAATATTGAGGTATTCATCTATTGGCACTACAATTGTATCGTGAGATTACACTTTAATCTTTTTGATTCTAGAATGACCAAAACGTTCTTTTTGTACAATACGACCAATAAGATGATAGACATATCTTTAGAAACATGTGACCCGTTTCAAGTAAAATCTGTATTCCTTTACGCAGATACAAATCCTTGCAGATCTGGGACTATGTGTGTAAATGGTCACGGATGTGCTGAAGTAATTTCATTTATTTATTAACAATAAGTGTATAACTAAAACTTGTACTTCTTCAGGTAGAGATAGTATGTAAAGTGGGAGCAAGATTAATTCATAACGTAATGCTGACGAGTAGTACTCAGGACTTACAAGATTCAAAAATTACATTGACGGAAGTATTACATATTATACATTCAGACAAAAAGCATCAGGTTTAAGTGATTCATTTTGTTTGTCTGCTTCTATTAGCATAAGCGGCGGGTGTTAAACGAATGTCATTTTTCAGGATGTGGATTTAGTACTGCAAATAATATTGCCAGCTCTAAAGCTATCATCGTATACATTAGATTTTGGCCTTGTCTACATAGGCGATGCAAAGGACCTGGCGTTGACCGTCGAAAACCGATCAGGTATCTATCTTTTTCTTTAATATAATACATTAAAAAAAGTAACGAGGAGCATTGATGTGAAATTGCTTCTTCGCAGCAAATAGAGTAAACATCAAAGTAAATAAAAAGTGGAAGAACAAGGATTTTATGATTGATCAGAGAAAGATGATGTTATCGGGTGTTCAAGATATGTTTCGTACAATTACAGTTTCGTTTCAACCAAAGTAATTTAATTAAATATAAATGTACTGATTTTAATTATGTCAATTGTTATGTTCTACTGTTTTTGTATACACAGAAAACAAGGACAATCTGTAGAAGCTTTAGAAATAACTACAGATATCCCTTACATCGCGGAAGAATGTCAACTTTATGGTGAGGGAACATTAGATGAAAAGTATCATACCCCAGGAGTATAAATTATAAATATACGTTGTAAGAATTGTTTGATACAATAAAACTATGAAACTAAAAGTAGTAAGCATTATTATACCCCGTCGAATCATATATATAAATACACAGAATAAAAAGTTGTACATAAATGTTCATCATACCGGTAATATTATTCCAGGATGTTAGGTAGGATGCAATACGACAGGAAAATCAGGAAATTGGCTCAAAACATACATCACTTCCAATCGTAAGTCACTCAAGCCCGGCGCGTTTCTCTCTTTCAACGAATACAATTTCTACTCTTTCTACTTTGAATTAAAGTCATGCCAGTTAATTAGAACAATTCCAGATCATCTTGAACGCGAACGCAAAATCGGCAAGATCGTGTGAGTACGAGTACTGACTGAGCAATCTTGGTCATTGATAAAGCGGTCCGTGTTCGAATAATTGCATTATTGGAATTCGTAATTATACAGCTAACAGATGCATTTTCGTTCTCATGAGCGCGGGCCTTTCTATACGATCCGTTTCGTTTACCAATACAGTTTCAAAATTTTATCCAACGCATTGATACAAGTGGACACGCACGTTTTGATGGTTTTGATAATTTAGAAAAGTCAAGTCAAGTTGGTGCCGCTACCTGTCGAGGCGGACGTGAATCTCTGTGGATCTTGATCGTCACGTGAACGGGCTTGACCAATCATTGAATTCCGAGGGCCCTATACGTGGCATAAGGTATGAATCCTTTCCACGTCCGCCATTTTGACATACGGTACTTTTCGAGAGTGTTGGTTTTATGTTTTATCGTTTCTCGTGAAAATAATCTTTTTTACTGAAACGTAAGTAACGCAAGTGGGTTATACGGGCAACGTGAGATTGCGGGGGACTCTTGTTAATCAAACGACGGTTTCTAAATAATGGAACTTTGAGCGGGTGAACCTTTGACGATTCGCTGGGGAGTAGGTCGAAGGTGACAGAACAACCGGGTATACGCAGTGGCTTCGCAAACCGCACAATATCTTCCGCCTTGCTCGCAATACTTCGGTATTGGCGTTTTAGGTAGCCGGTCACGTTTTAAAAGTGCATAGATCACCAGCGAAACGATCTAGCGTGATCCTTAACGGTATGCTAGCCTCGATAATCATAGCGATGTATTAAAATGAGAATCAATAGCAGCGGGCAGCGTGAGCATCTCGTGTCGTGCGTGGCTTCGCACGAATCTTTTTTTCTCGTTCAGTTCAATGAAAATCTATGATTTACGTTGTGTTCACGATACTCGTTCTTTGCCGTTGACCCCCGATAAACGTGCAGGTTAGCTTTTTGCCCTTTGCGTCAGCGTATCCGTTACTTTACGCATGTACCTGCTCTTTGATATACTATCTGCGTAATTTCAATTATTTCCTTCGACATCGAACGTGGCTTTTGTTCAATCTTGTACCGATGCGTTTAGAATTTTCGACATCCTCTCGATTGTTTTCTCTTCGTTCGTAAAAGTTATCATTTATTTCGAAACTACGGTTCAATACGTATTATTGCACGCCGATCGTATAGCGTGTTGTGTTCTTGCATATGTCGGGCATACGTTTCTTCCAACTAATTTTAAGTATCGAATAATTCAATTTTGTTAAATCCATAGCTTGCTTTAATCACGTGTTTTGTTTTCGTGCGCCTCGATGCTCTCGCCCGTGTTAGATATTTTTTTATAAGTCGTACTATCGTAAAAGATTTACACATATATAGTTTTAATTAAGGTCTATTGTATGTAAAATTAAATTTATAAGGTTGCTTAGTTAAGAAATAAAAAATTATGTCCATTGTTGATACCCTGATTTATTTTTACGTACCTCAACGAACAAGGTCTTAGTCTGTTACTTATTTGTTTCAGGTGTTTAAATAATCAGCTTTAACCATGGGGAATATGTTCGCAACGTTATTCAAAGGCCTTTTTGGCAAAAAAGAAATGAGGATTTTAATGGTAGGCCTTGATGCAGCGGGTAAAACCACAATTCTGTACAAATTAAAATTAGGGGAAATTGTTACGACAATTCCTACTATAGGTGAATATCATATTTCCTTTGTCAGGTTAGATCACGAAGCAGACTACTAACTCGTTTTGTTTAAATTCCAGGCTTCAATGTAGAAACAGTTGAATACAAGAATATCAGTTTTACTGTGTGGGACGTGGGTGGTCAAGACAAAATTAGACCTCTCTGGCGACATTACTTTCAAAATACACAAGTACGATTCTATTCTTGTTTCTTTCTTTCCTTTACCTAAATCTACTTGATCTTCGTTTATACAATTTTCATTGGCAAACGTGGACATTATGGCAATACATAGAATGATGCAATGCTTCCCGAATGATGTTTTATAAATGAAATTTAATTTCAGGGACTGATATTTGTCGTTGACAGTAATGATAGGGAACGTATCGGTGAAGCACGCGAAGAATTGATGAGAATGTTAGCAGAAGATGAACTTAGAGATGCCGTACTTCTCATCTTTGCTAACAAACAAGTGAGTATAAGTAATTCTTGAACGTATTAATGCACGAAAGCGCATAGAGTTTATTATGTGAACAATGCGTATCTATATGAAATCGACAGATGTCAAAAAAGAAATCGATTAAAAAGACTAATTATTTGTCGTTCGCTGAATGTTCTAGGATCTCCCAAATGCAATGAACGCAGCAGAGATTACTGACAAGTTGGGGCTACACTCGCTTCGCAATCGCAATTGGTACATTCAAGCAACGTGTGCCACGAGCGGAGACGGACTTTACGAGGGCCTCGACTGGCTCTCCAATCAGCTCAAAAATGCCAATCGCTAATTGGAACGACATTCTATCAACATTCAGTTGCTATATTAACATCATAAAAAAACAGCTGCACACCTGTCCCCCCCATGAATGAGTAATAATATATATATATATAACAGAGGTAACACTAAGTGCAAACCGCAGGATCATTTTTGATCCTCGAGTGGAGGGTGGAGATTATCGAAAGTTGTCATTGTGCCAGCAAAGTTTTTCTCGGGGGGGAGGGGAGTGGGGAAAAAAGCCGGCCGGAAGCACACATTCGAACGGCCACACAAGACTATTGCCT